AGGACACTGGTGCGCACGGAGTGAGTGTTGGCAGGATAAAAGAGACCTCTACGAGGCCAAGCTAGATGCAGTTACGTGGTGGCCGAAGAAGCATGGGTGGCAGAAGTAGCAGCAGCAGTAGCGACAGCAGTAGCAATAACAACAATAGCAGCGGTAAGATAGCGAGATCAGCAAATGCCATGTCAGGTGTCCGAAAAAAAAGAGAGATTTACGGCAGCACAGTGTGTGTGTGTGTGTGTGTGTGTGTGAGTCAGCGATGGTTAGATCATACAGGCGCGTATTTGAGGTGGCAAAAAAGAGATGAGGCGTGTTGGGGGTTAGGGTGGCAAAGCAAACACCAGGGGTGACGGTGTCACGGTTGGGAAGAAAACCAGAGCAAAATAAAACGGAGGTGTGTGTGTGGAAGATATACACGGCAATACAAAGTGGTGGTGGTGGTGGTGGAAGGAGGGAATAAAAAAAAACAGGAGAAGAATGACCATCAGTAAGTTTGGCAAATAACTATTAATAAAAAATTGCAAAATAATAACAAAAAAACAATAAACTGATAGACAGAGAGAGGTCGTCACCCAAACACCTATTCTCAAAAGAATCTGGTACATGCTCACGCGATAACAGAACTTCGTGCACATGCCTCACGAGCCGTGCAACCAGTGTACTCCCATCCTGCCTATCTCTGGTGGATGGCAGAGGACAGCGGAGGTTAGCACAAGTACCAACAACATGTACAGTGTTTAGCCATGCCAACATGGGCTGAATGTGCACGGCGCGGAAAATGTGTCATAAAGAGCAGGACAACGGAGCGTCTGCCTGCTGGATGCCTCCAGCTTCTCGGTTACAATCGATAGGGCAATCGCGAAGCATGTTGCAGAAATTCCGTCAGTTGAGGCATGGCACGAATCTGGGGCATGAGGTTTCCGTAACATTATGAAAAAAGGGCACATACACGTGGCAGGCATTGACCCTACTTATTGAAAAAAAGGCGATTTCATCGTCGACAGTCGTTTTGTAAAGTGGCTGTCGATCTCATTCATATTCTAGTCGATGCAAAGATCATGAATGCGACTTATCCCATGGCGTGGAAATGGACAAACGCGTCTGGACCGCAGCCATTAGACTGAAGCAGGTGGTGGTATTGCCTGTATGAAAGTGCCTACAAGCATCGACAATGTGCATCCCCTTTATGGGAATTATTAATATTCCCCGCCATTCAGAAACGCAGCGACTTGAGTCCAGTATAAGCACCAGGAGCCGACATTGTCCACCATGGTGTTGAGAAACCCCGACAATCAGCGAACAAATAAACTCATCCCGGTTAGCAAAATATGATCTATGAGTGTAAGATATCTCCCTATCCCCGTAGCGCGTGCACAGCAAGTGATGTTACTCATTCAATACCAACTGGGAGTCTGAAATATAATCTCAGCTAGAAAGGGTTAGAGAAATGATATTTGAAGTATATATTATAGTACAGCGAGCGTCCTATAAACACTACCCTACGAGCCATGAAAGTCAATAAGTTCCAGTCCAGTTGCCTCTGGAGAATACGGAAACTGAGGTGACAATAGAGGATAACAGGTACGGGGTACTGGAATGATATTTCAGTCATGTCAAGATGCCGACATTTGAATGGGCTTCTTTCCGGTGGTCTACTAAAACCCCGCTCAAAAACTTGTTTGCTTAAGTCGTACAACTTTTTTCATCGATTTTTCGATACCCTCATAGGTTTAAAAATATTTAATATGCATAAAATTATTATTTATTGAACAAATCTGGCAGGAAGGCACGTCAAAGTCTATCCTCGAAGGACATATGTCGGTGATTTAAAAAAATGTTTCCTTACCGAATAAGTTTGAACTTGACCAGCAATTGCACTTGGGACTTTTAAACTATATGTTGTGTAATACGTACGAAAAATCATATGTACAAATCATGTCGTATGCTCCATAAGCAGCACTATTCAAGGGACAGATGCAACTCAGCATGAACGAATATTTCACAGACTTAAAGGTCTCATGATCGAAAACGTTTTTGAAACCACAAGATCACTCCTCAACGACCTCCCTGCCACTGCACATGTACATCACGCATCGGCCTGGTCTGTCACTTGCGAATCTATCGCGCAGAGACTGGTGAACCAGTTCCTGGGGCGCTAACGTACAGTCGCCGCAGTCGTCTTCCCTGTCAACACTGCTGACGCACTTTTACACATCGTCTGGGTCTAGTAGGCCACATACACCTCTATGAAAACCTGCGATAGAAGGCCACCAGC